AGCTAATTTTTTGTATTTTTAGTAGAGACGGGGTTTCACCATGTTGACCAGGATGGTCTCGATCTCTTGACCTCGTGATCCACCCGTCTCGGCCTCCCAAAGTGCTGGGATTACAGGCTTGAGCCACCGCGCCCGGCCACACATCTTTATTTCTTGCTTGTGCTACGTTTCTAATAGGGTCATCTGGGGTCTTTTACAGTCATTAAGGGACTAATTCATGAATTCCAACTGGAAAAAGAAATCCATACTACCTGGAACACACAGTAACCTCAATTATTGAGATTAGATTTTTTCTTTCTAAATAATTTGTGGAATATACTATCCCAGTTATTTAGAAGAAAGATTTTAGGTATATCCAACATATTGCTTATCTGTGAACTCAGAAATAAGTACTAGAAACCAGAAGATTCCAAAATATCTGCTATGACATTCTAGCACTTAACAAACAAATTATTTCCTGCCAAGTAGATGCAAAGGCTATTACATTTTGTTTGTAATGTTCTAACACTGAAATGTTGGGAAGACAGAGAAAGGACAACAGGTGGCAGCCAGTTTTGGTGAAGTTTCCCTGTAGATATGTTTTTCCTTTCTTTAGAAAAATAGAAGCCAACACTCTGTCAATATTCAGGTTCAAAGATAAAAACTGTTACATAAATTAAAAATATTCCTGTTTGGTCAACATGACATAGTCAGAGAGGCATGCTAATTTATTTCAGTTATATCTTTAAGTAAGATTGAGAAGCTAATGCTATGATAATTAATCGCCTATACTTCTGCTTATGTTTTTTAGAAGGAAATAAGTCAAGATAAGACCCTTGCTCCCGTTTCCTGGTGCCTCTACATCAGCTAAAAATTTCCTCCCTCCTACCTCAATGTCCTTAGTGAAATGACATTAGTGAGAAAGGATATGAGATAGGAGAAGGGGTTCTTATCACAGAATAGAATTTCTGGGAGTGGCATTTTATGAAGAAAAAGCCCTGGTACCTATCCCAACTCCTCTAGCTCTCCCTGGGACTGCAGTCAAGATGAAGACTCTTTTTCTTTCTTCAGCCCTGAATCCATCACAAGCCATCTATCCCAAGAGGAGAAATGGCTGAACTTAAGAACTCAAGAGCCTTCCACATGTCAGTCAAGCTGAGATGAAGAAGAGTTATGGGATACTAGAGTAAATGACCTTTATTTTCATTTTCTCTCTATAAAAGGTTCCTTTATTCTTCCTTCAAAGCAATTGATACTAAAGAATTTGTTTGGTTAAAACATGAGGGAGGGTTAACGAGAAGTGAAACAATCTTTCTGTAAATCTATAAAAAGGCTTCACAGAAGTAATTTTGTAATAACAGCAGAAGTAACTGTTGGCAGCCCAGGAAGAGATGGCACCCAAAACCAATGCAGAGCGACAGTGCATAATTGTGTATTACAGGGAGTGGATATTCATAATGCTGACCCTGTTTCATGAAGAAAAGGTGGGCATTTTCACTGTTCCCTGCCTCAGAAGTCAGGGAAATACAGCATTTTTTTTTTTTTTTTTGATATGAAGTTTTGCTCTTGTCTCCCAGGCTAAAGTGCAATGGGGTGATCTCGGCTCACTGCAACCTCTGCGTCCCAGGTTCAAGCAATTCTCCTGCCTCAGCCTCCTGAGTAGCTGGGATTACAGGCGTCTGCCACCACACTTGGCTAATTTTTGTTTTTTTAGTAGAGATGGGGTTTCGCCATGTTGGCCAGGCTGGTCTTGAACTTCTGAACTCAGGTGATTCACCAACCTCGACCTCCCAAAGTGCTGGGATTACAGGCGTGAGCCACCACACCTGGGTGGAAATACAGCATTTTTGAGGTATATTTCATCAAGTAGGATTCAGAAGAATACAATGTGGGGGTTGGCTGCAGATAAATTTCAGTTATTTTGCACCGTCTACCTATGTGGAGCAACTCCTTCCTTAATAAAGACAGCTGAACATAACAACACTGAATTTTCTGAAATCTGATGAGAAGGAGAATGTATTTTGTATTTAGAAATGAAGTCCAAGAGGGAAACAGAAGAAAAATCAAAATCTGGTAACAAAAGTCTTAGGTTGATTTTGAACAAAATTAAGAAAAATCTCATAAAATTGTATAAACCAACCTCATGACTTCAGATTTTTAAAAAAGCCTAAAGACATTATGACAGGTTTTAACACACTTTCTTCTGGAACCCCTCTACAGTAATGAACCCACATATCTTCTTGGAGCTTTCCAAAGAAATTCTAATAATTATAATAATCAAATTATTCTTTAAAAAACCTAGCTCCAGACATTCCCCTTTAAATTTTTAAATAACAGCTCATCGAGATATAAATCACATAGCATAACATTTACCCTTTTTAAAAGCATATAATTCAGTGTATTTTAATATTCAGAGTTGTGCAACCATCACCACTATTTAATTTTAATACATTTATATCAGCTGAAAAAGAAACTCCATCCCCATCAGCAGTAACTTTCTATTTTCTCCTTCCCTTATTCCTCCCAAATCACTACTTGCTTTTTGGATGTTTTTGCCTATTTTGAACATTTCATATAAATGGAATCATTTAATATGTGACTGTCTTAAGCCATTTGGGCTGCCATAATAAAATACCATAACTTGGGTGGCTTATTAACTGCAAGAATTTATTTCTCACAGTTTTAGAGGCTAAGTCCAAGATCAAGGCAGTAGTAGATTTGGTGGCTGGTGAGGGCCTGATTTCTGGTTAATAAATGGCAACCTCTAGCTGTGTCCTCACATGGTAGGTGAGACAAGGGGTCTCTTTTGGGCCTCTTCTATAAAGACACTCATTCTATTTAGTAGGGCTGTGTACTCTTGACCTAATCACCTCACAGAGGCTCCCGCTTTCTAATAATATCACCTTGGTTGTTGGAATTTCAACCTATGAGTTTTGGGGGACATAAACATTCAGACCATAGCAGTTACCTTTTGTGTTTGACTTCTTTCTTTTCCTTTTCTTTTCTCTTCTTTTTTTCCTTTTCTCCTTTTCTTTTTTTTATTTTATTTAATTTTATTTATTTATTTATTTTTTTCTTTTTTGAGACAAAGTCTTGCTCTGTTGCCCAGGCTGGAGTGCAATGGCTCACTGCAACTTCAACGTCCCAGGTTCTCCTGCCTCAGCCTCCCGAGTAGCTGGGGCTACAGGTGTGTACCACCATGCCTGACTTATTTTTGTATTTTTCATAGAGACAGGGTTTCACCACGTTCATCAGGCTGATCTTGAACTCCTGACCTCAAGTGACTGGCCTGCCTCGACCTTCCAAAGTGTTGGCATTATACATGTGAGCCACTGTGCCCAGCCAGGCTTCTTTCATTCAACATCAAGTTTTCAAGTTTTATTCATGTTTTATATCAGTACTTTATTTCTCTTCGTGACTGGTAGTACTTCACTACATGGATGCAATGCATTTGTTCATCCATTCAAAAGTTAATAGACGTATGGGTTGTTCCTACTACCTGGCTATTATGAGTAATACTGCTATGAACATTTATGTACAAGTGTTTTCATGGAGATATGTTTTCAATTCTTTAAGTATATACTTGGAAGTGGGATTGCTGGGTCATATGGTAATGCTATGGTTAACTTTTTGAGGAGCTGCCAAACTGTTTTTTATAGTGGCTGTGCCAATTTATAATACCATTAGCAATGTATGAGGTTTTAAATTTCTCCACATCCTTGACAATGCTTGTTATTGTCTGTTTTTTTTTTTTTTTTTTTTTTCTTATTATAGACAGGGTAATGGTATCTCATTGTGGTTTTAATTTGCATTTCCCTAATGACTAATGATGTTGAGCATCTTTTAATGCTTATTTGTGTATCGTTTGTATATTTGTATATGGAGGCATGTCCATTCAAATTCTTTCTCCATTTTTAAAATTGGGTATTTGTCTTTTTACTGTTGAATTACAAGAATTATTTATGTATTCTTGATACAAGTCATTAGACATATGATTTTCAAATTTTTTCTCCCATTCCAGAGGTTGTATTTTCACTTTCTTGATGGTATACATTAAAACTTAAAGGTTTTAATTTTAATGTTCCATTTTTATTTTGTCTCTTTTGCTTCTATTTTGTCTCATCTCTAAGAAAACATTGCTTAATCTAAGATCACAAAAATTTACTTCTATTTTTTTGCTGAGAGTTTTGTAGTTTTAGCACTGACATTTATGATCTATTTTGAGTTAATTTTCGGGTGTAACTGAGGTACCAGTCCAACTTCATCCTTTTGCATATGGATATCCAGTTGTCCCAGTATCATTTGTTGAAAATGATTCTTTCCCCGCTGAACAGTCTTGGCAACCTTGTTGAAAATCAATTGATCATAAATGTAAGGGTTTATTTCTGAGCTCTCAATTCTACTACATTGATCTATATGTGTAGCCTTATGCCAGTACCACACTGACTTGATTATGGGAGCTTTGTAGTATTCCTACTTAAATTTAAATTGATTTCTTCTTTCTGTGACAGAGAGAACAACTTTACCAGCCTGCCTCATCATTGTAAGTCCTTCTTATCACAGAATTATGGAATCTCTCAGCTGGAAGGGAGCTTGATGATTAGCTGGTCCAGTCACTTCATTTTACAGATGGTGACTCTAAGCCCCAGAGATTTGTCTACATGATGTGATTATATGGGCCTTTCTGCATACATAGTACCAAGTTTAAGAAATCTTATCCATTTGCCCTCTTTGCTTCAAATATTGTGAAAGACATCAAATATTATAGACTGTGTACTGCTCCCTGATTCTCTTCTTCTCATTCCAATCCCAGGAAAAACTACCATTCTGAATCTAATATGTATAATTTCATGTTTTTGTACTTTTCCAAAACCAACACAAAGTAGCATAATTTTAAAAAATCATTCAGCAACATGTTTTCTCATTTCAACATTGTTTTAAATATTTATGTTGATATATATAGATTTGATTCATTTATTTTAAATCTTCTATCATATTACATTTAATGAATATAACTTTAATATATCCATTCTCCTGTTGAGAGACATTTAGGTTTTTTTATTCTTTATTTTCATTTTATTTTTCTATTATAAGAAATGCTTGTACGTGTGTCCTTGTGTTCAGATGTGACTGCATCTCACTGGAGAAATGCTACTACAGGGCAGCAGAGGATCTGCTTCCTTTTTTTTTTTTTTTTTTTTTTTTTTTTTTAGATGTTGCAAAATGCTTGCCAAAGTGGTTATGATAGCTCCTGCTTTTCACATCCTCACTTGTATTTGACATTGTCACACTTTAAAATTTTTGCCAATCTGATAGGTATGTAATGGCATCTTATTACTTAATTCACATTCCCCTGATCACTAGTAAAATTGAATTGTTTTTCTGCATGTTTATTGGCCATTTTTTCCCCTTCCATTACGTGCTTAAAAATTGTATTGCAGAATAGTGTGGGTTTCTTTTCTTCTACAGCATGAAATTACTGCTTTTTATTTAGCCTGTAGTTAAATATGATTTCCCAAAGACTAGTCTATTCCTCCTGCCACTGCTGTCCTCCTGCTGCCGTTACTGATAGTTCCTCTACTGCTTATTTTCTGAATGGCTCTTCTGTGATGGAAATGCTTATTACTCCAATTCTCATAAGGAACATGCAGAGACATTATAATTTCCATTTTAAAGATAGGAAAACTGAGTTTGAGAGGGACTAAGTGATGTATAAAAAGTTATACATCTAAAAAGTAGAAGACTTTTATTCAAGTTTAAATTCATTTTTCTAAAAGCACTTTTTCTCCCTGCCTCCCTATTTTTCCTTTGTCCAGTTTTTCTCCTTAGTTATATTCTCTAAATATCTTGTATTGTTTCCATCAATTTTGTACTTTTTAAAGCTACTTTTCTAATTTGTCAGGGATATTTCAAATTTTCTTTCTGTCCTCTAATAATTACTTTGTGATATATTGACATTTCTTAATTGCAATTGAGTTTTTTTTAATTGGTCTTTGTCTTTATACAAATAGATTGATTAGAATGGTTAGCAATGATGCATCATTTGAGCCACCATTTAAAATTGTCAAGTGAAGAGTGAGTCATTTTTAAATAACTCTATTTCAGAGCATCGCAGGTAACAGCAATGGGGGCAATGGCTTGTTTCCTTGAGTGTTAATATTTGTGATGACTTCTAACACTTTATTAAAAGCATGTAATATTTCTTTTTTGTGTAATCTATGCTTTAGCATAGGAGGAAACTAAACCAGTATAAAATGCTATGTTCTTCTGGATACCATATTGATGCTTGCACGATATTTTATGCACAAAATAATTGCTATTTGATTAGTGACTTGTTCTGTTATTTCAGGCACTGATGGCAATCTGCCTAACCTGTCTTTGTTAACTCATCCTATTCAACAAGCATAGATTTAGTCCCAATTGTATAACATGTACAACATGCTTGGCTCTGGGAATAATAACCCACTATCTCATACTAATTGAGATAGGAAAGGAACTTCACATGCATCTTCCTCAGACCCTTTGTGGGGTTATTAGCTCATTTCTACAAATGAGAAAGCTGAGGTTGATGAAACTGGGCAATATACCCACTCTACAGAACTTATAAGCATTGGACACTTGATCAGTCACATACATTCTTTATTGATTTCTATAGCAAGCAGATGTCAGGCCAAATTCTTGTGTTTCATTACCTGTGTTAGAGTCTTGGGAGAAGGAAGAGGATAAAATAAGTACCAGCAAGGAAAGAGAAGGAAAATGGTTAGGTCTAACTTGAGCCGTCTGAGTGTAGGCTCCTGGCAAAGTTGTTAGCCCAGCATTCTCAGGATGCTGAGACTTGGAAACTGGCGAAGAGAAAGATAAGTTTATTTAAAATTTTACATGTGACAAGGCCTGCTACTCCCTTTAGATGCTGTGGGTAGGTAAAGTAGAGAACAAAGGCCTGGCTCCTGAAATAAAAATGAATGCTTTATGTATTTATTTATTTATTTATTTATTTATACTATTAACTCACCAGTGATTGTGTTTGTAATAACTGATATTCACAAAGAGCTGTGTAGTGGTCCATAAACAATTACTTTCAGGCTTACTTGTTAGGAAGCTGACCTACATTGCTTTGCAATGGATTCTGAATATAGTGCAAATGGATTTTATCATTACTAGCATCACTATTTTTATTAAATGTGAAATATGACAAAGAGGATTAATGCTTGTCAACAAGCCTACTTAGCACTTCATAGTTTTCCTTTTCAAATGTGCTTTTGCAACTATTAACCAGACAAATGATTCTACTGTGATGTGAATAGAAGCCACACAGCTGTAACTCTATACTCTGTGAATATGTTTCCTGCAATGTCAATTAATTTTGCTTCCTGAAGCATATTCTTTCATGTATAGTTTCATCCATGCTGTGTGTTCTGCCTGGAATGATTAGAGGCCTGCAAAAGTGGATAAAAATAACAAATTAAAACAGAAAAAAACAACAAAACATAATAGCTTTTCAGGAGTTAGGCCCAAACTCAGAATCTGTTTTCTTTCCATTTTCCATGTTTTCATTTATAGTGTAAACTATTCGCCTTTCTCCCACCCCTTGATAAGAATGGTCTTTTGCACTCTATTAACCCCAGGTTCTAGAAAAAAGCAATTTCCTAACAGGTGAATTAACACTAGATAACATTACCTCAAATGCCAAGTCATTTAATGTGTAATTGAAAAAAAAAAAATTTGGGAGGCAGTATTGCAATGTCTTTTTTTTTTTTTTTTTTTTTTAACATTATAAAGGGTCTTTTCAAACTAACCATAGGCTCCCAACCTCCCGAGAGTGATTTGCCTATTAACAAAGCTCAAGAACAACTCCCACTACTAGTACACGAAGAAATAGCCCCCAATTTCCAATTACTTTTGCCGCTGACAGTTCACTGGACTGTTAAGACGCATTCTTCACCATTGTGTGGATGTGGTGAAGCCAGGCAGTCGTGTGTGCTTCTCTTTTTGATTATGCAGTAATTAGACTGTTCCACTAATGGAAGAAGGGAAAAAAGTTTCTAGAGAAAATGACATCCGGTGTAGCTCGCTTTGAAAAACTCACTGGCACAAAAGAAGAAAGAGTAACCTTTTTGTCACGAACACTGTGAAAGGTTTTATGCGTTAACTAAGCAGCATTAAAAATGGAAAGTTGGAATCTCAAATTAGCTCAGGCATAATTGTGTGTTTGCTTGCAAATAATAAAGCAAATAGGTGTTTTAGACAAGCTCATTAGTCAATAATAAGGCCTTTCAGAGATGTACACAGGAGACTTGCTGGATGTGGATGAGCATCTCTAAGAATTCCGGATTCTGTGTCTCTGCTCCGTGAATTCATTAAAGATCCCTTGACAGTGTTCGGAGAGTGGGAGTTTGCCCTTTTGTCCTTGAACCGGCTTCACCTGAGAGCTCAGCTCTTTCCGTAGGTTATTAATGTATTAGTCACTCTATAAAAGTTCCCTTGATTTATTTTTCTGGTGGCGAATTTAATTCCTACTCCTCTTAAAATTAAAAACTCAATTCAGTCTCACCGCTCTATCATTCTTGCCCAAGCCCCCGCAGTCTTCTTTTCCCTTTTCTTTCCCAATCACTTTTCTTTTTCCTCACTCTACTTTGTATTTTTAGTATTTCATATGAATGTGACATTTTCCCTTTTACCTATAGAATTTCCCCATTTTCTCTCCCCAGTGTGAATTGAAAATGGCAATTCTTTATTCAGTGCACTGCAAATGACTAGCAATCTATTGCAGGTACGAATATAACCAAATGTCTCCCTTTTTGCTCTTATAAATTCTTAGAAGCTTGGATGCTCTTTGAGGTTTCTCCATTTTTTTTTCTTTTTCTTTTTGTTAACAGACACAGTAAAGAGAGTTCAGAGAGGGAAAATGTTAAAATTATCAGTTAAACGAATTGCTCTGATGAAACATAATTTTTATTTATCTGGGTTTTCATATTACTGGTTTGTAACTGAGTTATACCTGAGTAAATATCTGGGTGATCTTCTCTGGTTCTGTTTCTCTTTTATATGACAATTAAAAAACACTTTTTTAGCAGATTTCTAGGATGACTATATTTTTCAAACCAAAATTCAGGATCCAGAATTTGACAAAAGATTTTTGTGCCAATTCTGCCGTTGAGAAGCATATTGTTAGATTTAGATTAGATTTAGGTTAGATCCCAGACTTGGATGCTGGGATCTTTCCTTGTTTATGAGATGACAGGACATTGGAAATGAGGATACATGAAGGTTTTCACCATGGAACTGTGGCATGAACAAAATAGAAGGGTTTTATATGAAGTTTTTAACATACTAGTTACATCTTCATTTTTTGCCTTAGGAGAGAGCATAATTTGAAAACGAATGGGTGAAAATAATATAATTCATGGTAGAACCTCAAATAATACTGGTTTATTAAAAATCACATTTTAAAGTACTTTCTATATTAATATCTAATTGCATCACACATTAAGACTGATCTTAAAGTTCTTCACAGCTGTTATGAGCAAATGAGTATGTCATGACACCTTGGTTGAGAACTGGTGATTTAAGATATAGTCTCCTGTGTCAAGGAACATAATGTAGTTTGAAATTATTTGTGATTCTTTACCTATTATTGCCAACGGTGAAAGAGGAAAAAAGGATGAAATGACAATTTAAAAGGTCTCATTTCAACAATAAGATTTTTCATTTTGCCAGTCTTGAATACCTCTGCCATCAACATTATGACTGTCATTAACGTCATTAGCTTGATCACTGCCATCATCAGACCCTGAAAATCTGGGAATTACAAAAAAAAGAACACTATGAATTTTGGCTCCTGAGGGCCTTACATTGTTGTTGTCAGTATTAAAACAAAACAAAAAACCCTTTCCACAAATACTTGGAAAATGTGCATTTAAATTGATTAATTTACTCTTACATAAATTCTCAGACTTCTCTCTACTATGTATTTTATACTGCATATTTTAATCATTATTAAGACATGTAACATGCAAATTAAGGTTGGAAAAAGCAGACATTCGATGACATACGCAAAAATGGGGCTGCTTCTCTTTATGCAATATTGATGTGAGTTAAATTTTTGTAAATAAAAGAAAGTTTTAATTGAAACATGCTTTTACATGAACCTTGACTGCTCAATTTTAAATTAACTGTGCAGAAAGTTATCTATTAAATAGAATACATTTTTTTCAACAATGGAAATAATTGCTTTCCAACCTTTTAAAAATATGTTTTAAAATTTTTAAAATTCATATTTTCTTATACTGGATTTTCTTAAAGTTTGAAACCCATTCAATGTGTAATCCTTTTGCCTCATCGTATAAACAGCTTATATGTAACAAAGTCTATGCTTTAGCACAGTTCTGATTTCAATTTTCAAAACTATTGAGGAATCTTGTTACACTTGTGACCCAGTATATGAGCATATGTTTACAGATTTATTTAGAAACTCAGATGCAGTGTTGACTTTTGAAAAAGTGTCCTGTTTGTAGAATACTGGCATCATTACTTCCAGCAAGACCCCTTTTATCTCTGTACCCTACTCCCATAATCTTGTTTTTCTTTCACAACCACTTTATTAAATATATACCTTTTGTTTGTATATGTTTTTATTAGATGCGTTTTACCTGTCTGTATTTTTAATGTCTATAAATGGTGTGAGTATAATACTCTGGTTTACTGTTATTATTATTACTTTTGTACTTAGCATTCTCTTCCGTTCATGTTGCGCTGAAAATTCACTGCATATTTAGAAGCTAGGAAGCAGCTGGCAAGCAAACAGCCTTGATTCCAATATAGAGGAAGAAAAGTCTTATTTACTGTTGGAATACAGAAGAAGGTATGAATCCAAAATCCAGACCGATATTGAAACACCCCAAAGTATCATTATAGCATATTATTAAATACTAAAATATGAGATGCATGGTACTATTTGGTAACATTTCAGATGAGGGGGAAATCAGTGAGGGATGGGGAGGTAAAAGAAAGCTGGAAATTAAAGGATCCAAGATTTGAAAATGCAGCAGGGAAAGAGATTTAGAAGTTGAAATTGGTGGGTGGAGGAGTGGCAATATAGCAAAGCAAGTAAAGGCACAAACTTGGAGGCTCCGTGATACAGGGTAGCAAGAAATAATTTAAATAATGTTTATAGACCTATAACAAGGTTGGAAAAGTGGCTTTGCTAACTTATGTTCATGGGCTTCCTCTGTCTTCTTCATTTTTCATATTTACTTCTTTTTATCTCAAATTTTATCCACTTCTCTGCTGTCATAGACAGCTTTTCTTGTGTGGTTGGAGGAGATGGTAGCAAAAGCTCCAACCCATGTTTCCCCTACAAAAGGTGATCCAAGAAGAGGAGGCTTTTTCTCACCCAGATTCTGTTTGTATCTAAACTCATGGATATATTATTCCTGATTCTTCTTGGATGCCTATTATTGGACCAATCATTGAGAACTTGGGAACGGGGTACCACCATTAGTCAAGCACCCACCAATATCCCAGTGACCAACAAATCTGCAGGAGACATGCAGCTGGATAAAGAGGGCAGTGCCTCCAAGGAAGGCAGGAGCTAGGCAGATAGGAGCAGCAGATATCCATTAGAGCTTCCCATGTGATCGGCACAGCGATTCGAAGAGGCAGGTAGCACAGGAATTCCCATTCTCGTTAGTAGATAAGGACACAGTACATGCCCCAAAGTCAAAGACCTTGTAAGTAATTGAACAAGAACTTGATCAAAATCTGCTGAAGGTTTTAGAGTAGTAAAACCTAACAGTTATGTCTTATTTTTGGAGAAAATTTCTATTTGTTGTTTTGGTTTGTTAATTTTCCCCATATTCTTGTAAACTGGGAATCCCATGACAACTCTTTAAGAATACAATTCAGAAAATCAATGCCAAATGCTTTAAGCACACAGGCATATACTCACACACTCTCATTTGCAGTTTTGTTACATTTATTGAGAGCTAATTGTGTTCAAGTCACCTCCTACATACCTTACCTATATCATCTCATTTATCATTTCATTTAACCCTAACACAGTGACTATATGATCTAGGCTGTATTATTATTTAGTTTGCAATGCCACAGACAAATTAAATAATCTGCCAAGTCCATATAGATAGTAGTTGGTACAACCAAAATCCATACACAACCCAATAGTCCAAACAGATTTTCTTATCCAGCAAGCCATACAGCTGAGTAATGCATGCACATATAGGAAAAATATGTGCACATACCTTTTATATGGGCATATTTTAAATAATTCATTTGTGATTGCTAATGCCAGACAATCTGTAAACAAATTAAACCATATGTTTATTCTACTGGAACGTGTAAACTTCCTTAATTTGATATTCTACTGTTCATTAGAATCAATGGACACCCATAGGTCTGAACCAAGGTAAATTTAACTGCCAATAGATAATCAGCTTCATTCTTTCTGTGTACATAAAACCTAAATTAGTCATGAGGGATAATTTCAGATGTTAAACACAGTCTGATAATTCAGAAGCACATTGCCTTATGTACCATTCTGTACTTTTATCGTAATCTAAACACCTCTGCCAGAACTGAAATCTTACCATTTTTTATGTTGCATTCTAAATATAATTGATCTTGAGTTATGATATAAAAGACCAGCACTCAGCAGCTGGAAAATAACATTTTGATGGTATCCCAGACTTGGGAAAAACCCCCACCACAGAGCCTGTCAATATTCAGCTGACAAAGACTATTTCATGCTTGTTTCAGGAGAAGATTTTCAATCTGTCTGCAACTAGCTGCCAAAACTTTTGGATGAATAGGGAAGAATGCCGTCAATCACCCAGATGTTCCTTCCGCAGGAGGCCATGCACCCAGCTATTTGGAAACAATCAGGTGCCTGGAACATGAAGACAGCACATCTGGAATGTATGTGTGTATATGTGTGTGCATGTGTGTGTATTAACTTTTTAAGGAGATATTTTGATGTCATGTTGAAACAATAATTACACCTCTTAAAGTACCTAACTCTGAGATAAAGTGTGCACAATTGTAGTTTAGAGGAACATTTAAGTGTAGTTCACATTATGTGTTGGTCGTGTGACTAAATGTTGATAATTCTATCTCAGGACATCCATGAATGCTGATTATCTATTGCTCAACCATATTTGAAGATTGAATATTGAACACTTAATCTCTGCTATGGTTAATTTAACAATATACTCACCTCCAGCTTTTCTTGACTCCCACTGTATCCATCCCAACTTTTAAAACTTTATCAAGCTTATCTAGTTCTAAGTGAATTCAAATGACTGATAAAGATAATAAAACACCTAGTTTCTCTCTAGTAACTGAGTAAATGTGAATTAAAATAACAAGATCCATTGTAGGGATTTTAAACAGAAGGCAGATATGGTCAAAATGCTTTTTAAAGGCTTAGCTCAAGATGTAAAACAGATCTGAGATTTTTAAAAGCATGAACAAAGTATGGTAATTTGGTACAGGGAATTATTATAAAAATATTGTTGTAGTGAGATACTGAAAGCTGGCATTGCAGTCCCAATCTTAGATGCATTTTTTAAGAGTCTCAGTCTTGGATGCACAGAGGTAATGGCGGGATGTGAAGAAAGAAAACAGGACCGAGAATAAGAAAGGTGCACTGTTACCCAACTATGGAATAAAGGAAGGTAGGTAGAGGGGTGTTTATTCGGTGTGGGGAATAGGATGAAATGTGCTCACTCCATACTGCAGAGTCTGTTAAAATGACTGTGGTGAAGAGGGGACTTGACTAGGAGCCAGGGTGACTGGGAGTCAGTTAGTCCATAGACCCTTGGTAAAATGACTGAGATCTATTAATAAGTACCCTACCCACACTCCTATCCTGTATTTACACTGGGGCTTAAAGTTTTTTGTCTTACAGCTGGCACTAGAATTACACTTAAAAATGATGTAGTTATTTAGGAAAGAACTTCAGTAAGACTCAGAGAGAAAGATGAGATCTTACTGAATCTACAGAAACATAACCCACAAGTAAGAGAGTTGCATTACTCTAAGTTATAAAGAAACAGAAATTAGGACAGTAGAGGAAAGACAGGAGAGGAAAGGAGACAGGAGTCAGTGAGAAGATGCAGGGCTAAAGTATCACAGGTGAAGTGGTCAGTGGAAAAGAGTCCCTGTGGAATGGGGTAAAACAGATTTAAGAGCAAGACTACTTGAAAGGCTGACATTCATTTTGAACTTGTTTACAGTTTTGTAATGTAAGATTCCCTTCTCTTCCCCCCTTAAATATCAATAATATCTAATAGGTTTTTAGGGGGAACTGAGAAAGTGGCTTAGCTTTATACTCGAGTTAATGTGGTATAGAACACAGAGTGTGTGTACCTGAGAAGGTGAGAGGTAAGACCTCTAAGAAAGAGGTCATCAGGATTGTATATCCCACTCACTGTCATATTCCCTAGAATTTGGAGAAAAACTGGTGAAGGCTTTGGATTTCCAAAGGACATTAAATAGAATGTGAGTTATTTAGATAAGTTCTACATAAAGATTTTCAAGGTCAGGGAGCCGTGAGCTGACATCTAGGCTATCCTAGAGGTCTGGACCCCTACTTTCTTCCTGTTATAATAAAAATGTTTTTTCTCCTTTAAGGAACGGATTTAATGCAACAGCTGAGCACGATGATAAATCATCTGAAACTAGCGTGGGCCATCTGGCTGTCATGAATAGTCTTAAATAAATGGAACCCAAAGTAAGAAATATAAAGAGACAGTAGGTTCCATCTTAGTTGAGCTTAAAAAAAATGAGCAAGGTTTAAAAATCACGCTCTGGTTTTCAGAGGCTTCTATATTGCTTTGTGAAACATAGACTAGTTGTTGATGATTATGACATCATGACTAGTTCTGGGCAATGAAAGCAAAAATAGGATTACAAAAGAACTCACAGAATTCAGAATGCCAGAGAGATCCTGCAGATAATCAATTTCTCTGTTCCTATCAATTTATAGAGACTCAGCCTTTATTTATCACTAATGGAAGCTTAATGATGTTACAACTATTATCTCTTGATGATTTCTTTTTCTTATAGGTCCAAATTTAGAGGTATCTGTGTATTCATTCATTTTCAAGCATTTATTGTGTTCACTACATGTCAGATGCTGATACATCACTGCGAATGCACAGATAAGTAAGATCTGGTCCCTATCCTCAGGAGCACATACTCTGATGAAAAGATATCAGGCAAACATTGCTAATAGAATTACAAGTCATGACACTTTGCCGTGGTTTCAGTGTGAGCATGGTAAAGAGAGGTTACTTTAACTTTGCCTGAGGAAGACAAAGAAGCCTTCAAAGAAGGGGTTACTTGTGAATAAAAGCATAATATCATTAGAACCAGAAACTTGGGGTACCTTCTAGGAAGTCAAATAGGTGTATTAAGATGAAATCAAGCATAGAAATATGAAAGGTCTAATTTTATGGGTAGATATTATATTTCTCATCACTATTCCAACCACAGGAAAAAAAAAGCAGTGTGGATAAAGACTCATCCACCTATAGATGAAGACATATGTCTAAATATTTATACCTACCATAAATATGTTGCACATTATATAAGTTAATATAAGCTAAGCTGTTGTAAATATAGACTCCAAATTTATTGGCTTAAGGAATAGTTTATTTCTTGCTTATGTGATTCCAGAGTTGGTTTTCCAGGGCTGAAGGTAGCTCTTCTCTGTGCAGAGATTCAGGGAACATGGCTACTTCTGTCTGTGACTCTATCATATCCAGGGGTTTCTTGTCAACAAAATAGCTGAGACTGAGTCATCGTGTCCAGGTTCGAGACTAGAAGGGGAGGCAGAGGGTGAAGTAGACCCGCTGCTGCCTTAAAGCTTCCTGCTTTGTTTTGAATGTGTCCTCCCCCAAATTCAAATGCTAAAACTTAGCTGCCAATGTGATGGTATTAAGGAGTGGGGCTTTTAAAAGGTGGTTAAGCTATGAGGGCAGAGTGCTTATAAATGGGATTAGAACCCTTATGAAAGGGCTTGAGGGAGTGAGCTCACTCCCTTCTATCTTTTCTGCCATATGAGGACACAAGGTTTGTCCCCTCTGAAGTTTGCAGCAACAGGGTGCCATCTTGGGAGCAGACAGCAGCCCTCACTAGACACTGACCCTGCAAGCACCTTGGTATTGAACTCCCCAGCCTCCAGAATTGTGAGAAATAGATTCTGTTGTTTGTGAATTACCCAGTTTCCAGTATGTTGTTACAGCAGCACAAATTGACAACACCCCCTAAAGTAGTATACATCTTGTTTACTTATGTTACCTTCAATTGGCCAAAATCAGTCTCATGGTTGCATTTACTACAAAGAAGGTGGGAAAGGTAATCTCGTCATGTGCCCAGGAAGGAGAGAGTAGATTTTAATTGGCAGTACGCATTCTTTGTTACAGAAATAAAATTAAAATTGATAAAAATTAAACAGTCTAGATCATTCTAAATGGATCTAAACTTATATAAAATGTATCAGGATGATATATAAATTCCTTCACTTAGGCTAAAATATTACTTGCACGAACAGAGAACAGTAAAGGCAAATTAACAATGTTCACATGGGAAAAAGATGTGGAGGTTTTGCTTGGAGACTAATTCAACATGTGCCCACAGTTTAATGTGGTTCCTGAAAAACAAACCAACACACAAACAAAAAGTGAATATAATTATAGGCTGCATCAATACAAGTGTACAGGAAGAAAATGAATTCTGCTCTAGAAAGATTTAATTCAAGATCTTTTAATAGCGTTCTGGTTCTATTTTTAAGAGGCACACAAGTAAGCAGAAAGGGTTTAGGATGACAGGGTACAGAGATTTAGAAACCAAGTTATGTGAGGACAAGTAGTATAGAAACCATGTTCTGTCCTACAGAAGAGGTATCATGATGATGGAAGGGTGTGTGTGTGTGTGTGTGTGTGTGTGAATTGAAGTGGGAAAAGGTATGCATTAAAGTGGTCTTTAAAATTCAAAGAAATTTAAAGTTTAAATGCTTGAAGGTTAGCCATATGGAAGAGAGAGTAGATTCATTCTCTTCTGCATCACAGAACCAAGGAAGGAACATTTTGGCTTAATATGATGAAGATCTGCATAATTGAAGCTATCCAAGAATGGTGGAACAGGCTGCATAGAGAATTATTGAGATTCACATCACTGGAAGTGCTTGATCGGAAGCTGAATGACCTCATGTCAAGCCTGCTGTAGAGAAACTTTCCTCTCAGTGTGGACTAGATGATGTCTAAAATGTTTTCCAATTTTAGGGGAACTGTTTTTACTCCCCACACTTCTGACACCAAATATGTGCTTTTTCTTTAAACCAACAATCAATTTTCCAACTTTCTGGACACCAACTGGATGTCCAACAACTAAATTTAATTACAACATGAGTGGAGTTAGTGTCAGATCCCACAGGTTAAGGGCTCTGTCTCACAAGACTGCCTCTACTTCAGAAGCCAATTGCAAGCCCTGGACCTCCTGTACTTCTGATCAATTGGCTATCAATCAGGAGTTCCCATGACTCCCTCCTTGGGTTTGACAATTTCCTAGAGCTAGAATGGCTCACAAAACTTAGTCAAACAGTTTTCTTACTCTTTCTGGTTTATTATAAAGGCTACAAGTCAGGAACAGCCAAATGGAGGAGATACGTATGGCAAGGTATGTGGGAAGGGGCATGCCACTCGCCCAGCAACCTGGAAGCTCTCAGAGCCCCATAGCTTATCATTGGCCATTTGTGATTAACTCAATCTTCAGTCTCTCCTCTCCATTGATATTGTTGGGGTGGGACTAAAATTTCCAATGCTCTGATCATGCTTTTGGTCTTTTTGGCAATCAGGCCTATCTAGGAGGTATCTAGAGACCCACAAGTACGGTGATCTCATTAGCATACACAAAGATGCTCATCACTCCAGAGATTCCAAGGGTTTTAGATGCTCTTGTGTCAGGAACTAGGGACTAACACCAAATATTATAACAAAAGACGTCGTTGTCACCCCTGTCACTCAGGAAAATAAAAATGATTTTAAGAGCTCTGTGCCAGGAACCCAGGATGAAGACCAAATATACATATATTTTAGTATATGACAATATCCCACTAGGTTTCACTAAATTCGACATTATTTCTATGGTTTTTCTGGATGATTCAGGCCAAAATAATATTCCTGTTGAAGTTTATAAATAAAAGCTACCACACGCAACTTGGTCATGAGACACAGACAGTGTGGCCAGCATCATGGGCACGCCCTTCCCTGCTGGAAAAGTACTTTTATAATTGTCTAACTAGCAATTATTTTCATGACACACCATTCTGCTTAAAATCACATACTGAAAGACAAACTATGATTATTCAGACTTGAGAACTTGGCAGACATTTTGAAAGTTAACAGTGTAAGTCTGTCACTTCAAGAGGACAATGAACAGTATTTATTGTTCATGAAAATATTTGAGCTTTTAAGCCAAAATTAACAGTGTGGACTCTTGTATTTGCCACATAACCATGACAGCTTCCTGGTACTTAAAAGAATTTTCTGATGAGGCCAGTAGTGATGTTAACAAGTGTGATTTTTTTGGATATTACATAATGAAACTTGTCAACATTTGAATAATCTGTATAACATAGTGAGCCATTATTTTCCAAATGAGCAATTCCAAATGATGCAATGATGTTTTAAAAATTATGCATGAATAAAAGATCCAAAGTACACAATAAACCAGTAAATTTTTTTAAGAAACAAAGTACAAAAATTATTGACATGGTTTCAGATTTCACCCCACAAATGACTTTAAAGAAATCTATACTTGCTGAGTTTTGGTGTAGCATCAAAGAAGAATATCCACAATTATCTGAAATTACTACTAAAATATTAATCCCTTTTTACTACATGTATCTTTGAGGCCAGAGTTTTTTCATTTTCTGTACTCAAACCATACATTGCAATAGATTGAATGCAGAAACAGATTTAAGAATCTAGCTGTTTTCTTTTTTTTTTTTTAGTTGAGTGAAAATTAGAAGTTTATAGGAAATGAGAAAAAAATTATTACAAGAAAGCAGATAAAAATCAAAACAGGAATTAGACAAGGGTCTTGGTGTGTTATTTTGGGTGTTAAGTGAACACTTCTTTTTTTTTTTTTTTTTTGAGACGGAGTTTCGCTCTTGTTTCTTGTTACCCAGGCTGGAGTGCAATGGCGCGATCTCGGCTCACCGCAACCTCCGCCTCCTGGGTTCAGGCAATTCTCCTGTCTCAGCCTCCTGAGTAGCTGGGATTACAGGCACGCGCCACCATGCCCAGCTAATTTTTTGTATTTTTAGTAGAGACGGGGTTTCACCATGTTGACCAGGATGGTCTCGATCTCTTGACCTCGTGATCCACCCGCCTCGGCCTCCCAAAGTGCTGGGATTACAGGCTTGAGCCACCGCGCCCGGCGAGTGAACACTTCTTGAAGTCATTAGCATATCTAGCTCTTTTCTATTAAGGGAGACATTTTCTAAAAACTGGGAAAAACAAAACTCCAAACAATGCCATTCATCTCCCTAAATTATTTTATTTTAAAAAACATAGTTACTTTTCAGATAAATATATAAATATGTAATGGATCTATTGTAATTTAAGACAAATTAATAAATATTTTAAACTTTCATTTTATAATACAGTAGATATTTTAAAAAAATCTTTTTGATTTACACAATACAATTTAATGCTTTCAATAACAATGGATGTGGGCATAATCACCTTTTACTTTTCATAAAAGGGAAAAGATAGAAAAGTTAAGAGACATACTTGAGATCATATAGTGAACTATAAAATTATAGCTCCAATTTAGATTCTTTAGCTCTAGATTAACCTTATGCTTTCTTATAAGCAAAGGCCAAATCAATCCAGACAGAATAGTGGCTGAAGAGGCACCTGGGGCAGCTACACTAAGGAGGCACTTAGGGAAATTATTGCACTGAACTTGCAAAACTCGTGGTATAATTAGAAAATAACTTGATTTATTTTGTCACTGCCAATTCAAACATATGCTGCAGGATTAATATTTGCCTTTACATTTAAGTTAAAAATGAGGCATGGTTCCAGCTCAGTAATTAGTATATCTAGAATAACAATAAAAATGTAAAACTTCTCCTGAAATTATAGCATCTTCACCACCCTACCCAAGATTAGGCCTTGCAAAGTGCAAGAGAGCTGTGTGTCTTTCCCGTCCCCACCGCCTAGTGAGTGCCACTGCTTTTTGGTCACCTTCCTTAATGTGAGTTGTAATATTGGAGCTGGGAATTGGGGAGCGGATAAAGGAGAGTCAGTGGCAGCAAGAAAGTGTTTACTTGACTGGTTGTATCCTGTGATCTGAGCATCCTATACCAAAGGATGATTCTTTCTCTCCTGGAGGTACTTCTGTGGTTCTACAGAACTCCACCTGCTTCCCTTCCCCCTGTCTAAGTATTTCTGAACATCAGGCTCCTCAAAATGGGTAATTGTATTTCTTTTTCAGACGGTCACTTGACTTCCAGGTATCCCATGGTACACGCTTTGCTTCCTTTTGCTTAAGTCCTTCTCTATGCTCAGATTTTCGTTGCCCTCTTGATGAGGATCCAAGACAAACCCACACCATTTCTCTAAAGTTCTTGGTACTCGCTGATTCCACAGGCAGCCTTGAATTTGTGACCTGTCATTGGTGGGAGGACAGTTAACTTCACAGACTGCAGTGCTTTATCCACCTGTGTTTATCCAGAGTGCATGGCATTCTCCAGATTTTAGAAGACACATATCAAGCTCTTTAAGAGGTCTCATCGCATTACCTCTTTCTAGACTTCAGTTTAATGGCAGACATGCCTTACTGTTTTTGGTGTGTTTATTAGTGGGGGAATGTTAGTTATATTCAAAGCACGGCGCCTCACCTAATCTCCAGCTCCTGATGAAAGTGATGGTTTAATAACTACAAATCCAGTTTCAGTCAGCTCCTTTACGGTTCTGTGGAGGAACCCTCACCTCGCTGTGAAATGCAGCATTTATTCAGTCTTGAGGTAGATTGATTGCTGAAATGGTCCTCCCTACTTTCTCTTAAAACTTATCCTTTTATCCAAATGCTGTGCAATGCGACTTTTACTTCATCCTATCAGAAGATGGAGCTTTTTTTTTTTTTAATATTTATTTATGTGTTTGTTTACTTATTGAGACAGGGTTTCACTGTCACCCAGGCTGGAGTGCAGTGGTGTAATTTTAGTTCGCTGCAACCTCCACCTCCCAGGCTCAAGCAATCCTCTAGCCTCAGCCTCCTGAGTAGCAGGGACCATACGCATGTACCACTATGCTTGGCTAATTGTTTGTATTTTTGGTAGAGATGGGATTTCACCAAGTTGCCCAGACTGGTCTCAAACTCCTAAGCTCAAGTGATCCATCCGTCTTGGCTTCCCAAAGTGCTGGAATTATAGGTGTGAACCACCATGCCCAGCCCAGAAGTTGGAGTTTATTTAATCATAATCAGAACTGCTTTTGTGATTTGCTTCAGTCATCTGAATGCAGTGGAGTGCTAGTTCTGAGCTTAGGCCTCAAGAAGTCTTGTATGGTTTTGCTTTCTCTGGATACCTTGCCCCACCATGTGAACAATCCCAGTCTAGTACACTGGAGGCTGAGAAACCGCAAGGAGAAGAGTGTAGTTGTCCCAGCTGTGGCTATATTAGACCAGTCTACAGCCAGCTTAACCAGCATAGCTATGGGGAGAGCTGAACCAAGAATAGCAGAACTGCCCATCAGATCCACAGCTGATGCGTGAGTAAGCCTAGCTAAGACTGGAAACTGAAACTACCCAGCTACCTTAGAGGCTTGTGAGTTGTAATAAAAGCATGTAGTTTAAAGGTACTATGTGTTGGGGTGATTTGTTATGCAGCAAAAACTAATGAATACAAGACTCCATGAAAACCAAGACTAAAATAGTTCCATTCTGACATCTTATTACAGTAATACAGAACTTGAAGGTTGAGTAAAGTTGAATAAGTAAGGAAGGGAGGGGAAGAATATCACAGACTGGGAAGAAGTGGCAATGACAAGAACATAAAGAGAGGCTGATATTCAGGAGTCAATGAATAGGTTAAGGTATAGATGATACATTATACTAGGGCACAGAAGAAGAAGGTGAGGTTGGGTTTAACTGAAGAGACTTTGATGTGGGGATGGGAGATTCTGCTATCACTCTGTATGTAACCGAGAACCACTGAAAGTGATGACTGTGGTTTGCTCCATCCCCAATGTTCACATTTCTCTTTTATTTCAGCCATCATGCAGCCCTAGAATGTTTGCTAAAATAGAGTATAGAAGCAAGAGAACCAGCTCAATTTTATTTCACAGAGCAGTGATTATTGATAAAGAAGACTTTCTTTCTCCATGTGTTTCCTTGTGCATAAAGCCCAGCCTACATTTTATGGTTTGAAGAACACTTTAACAGAAGATGAGCCAAGCTACTTCTATCCTGACCAAAGAGAAACAGATGGAAGAAATAATTTCCTCAGAAAAATGCAAATACACAAAAATCATCCTGTTTCGATAAAAAAAGATAAAAACATGTTTGGTTATTTATGAAAAGCTTTAAGTCTTTTCTTCTTTCTTAAAGTGGCATGTTAATTTATTGCTAACCACTAGATGGCACTTGTGTACAGTATTTGAAATTGCAGTGAAACTAAGCGTACCTGTGGTGTGGTCAGAATAGAATCTGAGGTTTTGCGGTTATGCAGCCCACTTCCTCCCCCACACTAAGTCAGAGGGGTGTAGAAGAGAAGGCCTAAATCTCTTCTGCGCCTTTTTAACTTATAAAGAAAAACGAAGATGGCAGAAGTGTTTCTGATTAGATCGGGAGAAAAAGGATGATGCATTCTTGCAGGATGAGTCAGGAGAGATGATATTCTGTCGTTCTTTAGATATAGACCTGAAATACTAACTTTAAATTTATGGTTGCTAGTGTGAGCCATGGTTCTCTATTTACCCAGTTAGTGCATTTGGGGGAAGCATGAATGGTGTCTTCCAACTGGTTACTTTATCACACTGACAATTTTGGAAGATATAATAACTCTCACCCTTTTGGGTGGAAAAAAAATGGATCTCACAAGTCTACTTATCAGATCACCATAGTTTGATTCATCTTTATGAGAGTTGGCTGCCTGGTTGTTCATTGCTGTCTCCAACTCATCTGGACATTTTCAGATGATGCGAAGTTTGATAGCAGCTGTGAACATCATCCACAACTGCAGTGTTGAGAATAATGTAGGAAAAGTCTTAAGAAGAAAGAACAACAAACAACCAGGCAAGTAAGCAAACAAACAAAAATTCCATAATTCAAGACATTCCAGTGGAAGTCTAGAGGAACTGCAATCTTGCCTAATTGTGCCCCTCATTTATCTGGCCCTAGGACTATTAACAACATATAGAACTACCCAGCAAACTGTAACTCTTTTTCTGGGAGGTAAGATTCTGGCAATCTGCCAGTTTCAGCTTTGTCAACCCCATTAGCTTGTCCCACTGTGCTGATCCTGATCTCTTTCAGGGCTCATCTAATCTGGCCTTTCAGTAGCCTCTGCTTTCTCCTCTTTAGCCTAAGCTGCTGTAAGAGCACGTTTTGAAGTAGCACTAGATCTGATATAAAAGGGACATCTGTCCTAAAGAAGATTAGGGTGGGGTCAGGAAATCCCAATAGGGCAACAAGAAAACAGCAGATTTGGTCATTGGAGTAAAGAAAAATCAGAAACAGAAAGGTAACGTGTTGGGGAAGTACAAGACCAGACATAGGAGCCCTTTTCGATGTCTCTGGTTCTATGCTTCTGGCCTTCAGGGTGGCGCCTCTTGGTCTTCTCCTTGGTCACTTGGAGCTTGTATGCTCTTTTCCAATTCTCTGTATGAAATCCTACCTCAGGAAGAGAATTGATAAATTAATTCCAACTGAAGATTGTCCTTTCACAGGAAACAAAGCATGAGTTTGATAAAGCAATGGAATCCAGTTCTGATGGTAAGAATGCAAGTTTTGGCAAACAGTGTCAGCAATACCTCCCTCTCATTTGAGCAGCTACCATTTCAGCTATCTATATCTGCATTATTAAAAAATGAATCTTTACCACATAAGTTCACGTATTTC